TTTTCTTAGTTTTTTCGTTTGTATTTTGTTTTTGTTTTTTTATTAAATTTCAATTATCATTTTTATAAAATTTTCAATATTTTCTTCTCAACGGCAGCCATTAAAGATCGGCGGAAAAAAATTGGTCGCATTCCTGCTAATGCAATTAAAGAGGATAGATGCACAATTGAGAATTTTTCCATTTTTTTAAGAGAACGAAATAGCTAATAAAAAATAATCAAATTTAAACGTATGTATGTATGTATGTATGTATGTATGTATATATGTATGTATGTATGTATGTATGTATGTATGTATGTATGTATGTATGTATGTATGTATGTATGTATGTATGTATGTATGTATGTATGTATGTATGTATGCATGTATGTATGTATGTATGTATGTATGTATGTATGTATGTATGTATGTATGTATGTATGTATGTATGTATGTATGTATGTATGTATGTATGTATGTATGTATGTATGTATGTATGTATGTATGTATGTATGTAAGTATGAATGTTTGTATGTATAAAAAACCTTTTACGATGATTTTATTCTTGTTTCATTGGTAATTCAATTTATTCACATGAGTTTTATGCTTTTTTCCGGCCATCAAATGTTTTGTTAAATTTAACTTTGTTTTATTGTTTAATTAATTCTCCTTTTTATTCCATGATTTTAATTGTTATTGTTGTTGCGTTTTGTTGCTCCTCTAAGGTTGTTATTGTTGTTTGTTTTTGTTGCTATTATTACTTTTACTTGGTTTTATTATTATTATTATTATTATTCAAAACAAATTCTGCTCTCTGCCGATGGCTAATGAAATTCATTCATTCATTCTATTATTATTATTATTACTAATATTATCATTATTATTATTATAAAATTATTATTAATATTATCATTATTATTATTATTAAATTATTATTAACATTATCATTATTATTAACAATTATGTCACTTTGGTGAAGTTGTTGCTGGACAATGCATTGTGCAAAAAAAACCTACAGCATACATACACGTATAACCACACATATTTATATGCACGCGAACACAGACGCACATACACAAACACACTCGCACGCACACCCACCCACCCACCCACCCACACACACACACACACACACACACACACACACACACACATATATATATATATATATATATATATATATATATATAATTATAATTAAATAAAAAAAACTCTTCCTTCCCGCCATCAAAGCAGATGTGCGGCGTAACCATGGCAACTAATTCGTTACGTATGACGATTCTTAGAAGGGAGGAAAGAATTAGAAAAATTAAAAAAAAACAATGTGAATAATGTGTATGTGTGTGTGATGAACATCTATATAATACACCATATTATATATACCATATACCATTTTACTATATAGAAGTCTCTGATGTGTGTGTGTGTGTTTGTGTGTGCGTGTGTATGTGTTGTGTGTGTGTGTTGTGTGTGTGTGCGTGTGAGTGTGCCAGTTTGTCGTTAGTATCTTTAGTTTTTAAACTTCAATTCAAATTTTGGTTCACTTAAAAGAACTAGCTACTAACCTGCAGGTTAGGAAGAGCTGGTTAGTCGTAAAAAGCTAAATTCAGCTTATACGGTCCGAACCCTTTATTTAGATTTCAAACATTGAAAACAAAATAAAATGAATCAAGAAGGTTCAATAGAGTAACAAGAAATAGAAAATAAAATGCCATACAGAATAATTTTTCAATATAACACAACAAAAACCCTCAAAACCTGATTACTTGCCACAAGAATTTGATAAATTTTTGAAAATAAAAAACTGTTAAGCAATTAAATCCAACTTCTCGAACACAGACATTGTAGTGGATGGTAAGTAAAAATATAATTTATATAATACAATTTTTCTTTCTTGTCATCAAATATTTTTCTTTTTGTTCTAACCACATAAATCCATTTTAAAATGTTTAAATGAAAACACTTGTGAAATGAATAACAAAAATTACGAGAACAACATCACAGTCAACAACATCAGCAACAACAACACCTTAACCTTTAACCTTTTTTAACCTTTAACAACAACAACAACTAACACAGCCAACATCCACATCAACCAACAACAAGCAATAACAACAACAGACAACAGCTACAACAACAACAACAACAACAAACAAAAAAAATTGCAAACCCCACCAACAACAAACATTATCCACATCAACCAACAACAAACATCATCAACAAACACACCCAACATCAACCAACAACAAACAACAACAAACACTCCCAACAACATCAACAACAACTTACGACAACGAACAACAGCAAACACTCCCAACAGCAACATCAACCAACAACAAACAATA